AAGAGAACAATGCAAATTAAGGAGTGGATTCAGTTGCTTCTTATTGACAAGGGTTTTATTTTTTTCAAATTTTCCTCAGTTAATAATAATCGAATCATTCTCTAAACATGCTCAAAACGTAGAGCCGAACGGATATAATAGAGTGCTCTTTGTCGTTCGTCTGTATCTTAAGACGTTTAGGAGATATTCAAGTTAATATATCCGTCGATTTTGCGTTACCCTGAATGGCAATGACAATTTGATGAAGAAACTTAATTTTGCGTTACCCTGAATTTTATAGTAATTTGATTGAGGAACTTAAATATCTCCTCGCTCTTCTGCTATCCTGATACCAAAATTTTGTCAACGAAATCGCAACTTTTAGTAGTTTGAAACGGAAACCGAGTAAGTATGGAAACATTTTATTTCTGCTCTGATCTTCATGAAATTTGGCACTACGTTACAGTAAACGATTTAAAATCTCTTTGGTGGTGTCTGCGTCTCTCTATGTTGGATACTTTTTAAGAAATGAGCTCCAACTTTTTAATTAGTCTTGTTAGAGGGGAACAGAGTATCTTTTTGAGATCGTGACGTTCCATTCTATACATACATAAATTTTTTTAAACTTTTATCTTCCCAAAAAAAAGGAAAGGGTATAGCCTTCCAAATTTTTTGAGAAAAAATTTTTTTGTCTCCGATTTCAATGAAAATTTGGCTACATATCAAAGAGAACAATGCAAATTAAGGAGTGGATTCAGTTGCTTCTTATTGACAAGGGTTTTATTTTTTTTTAATTTTCCTCTGTTATTAATAATCGAATCGTTCTCTAAACTTGCTCAAAACGTAGAGCCGAACGGATATAATAGAGTGCTCTTTGTCGCTCGTCTCTATCCTAAGACGTTTAGGAGATATTCAAGTTTATATATCCGTTAATTTTGCGTTACCCACAATGGCAATGCCAATTTCATGAAGAAACTTAATTTTGCGTTACCCTGAATTTTATAGTAATTTGATTGAGGAACTTAAATATCTCCTTGCTCTTCTGCTATCCTGATACCAAAATTTTGTCAACGAAATCGCAACTTTTACTAGTTTGAAACGGAAACCGAGTAAGAATGGAAAAATGTTATTTCTGCTCTGATCTTCATGAAATTCGGCACTACGTTACAGTAAACGATTTAAAATCTCTTTGGTGGTGTCTGCGTCTCTCTATGTTGGATACTTTTTAATAAATGAGCTCCAACTTTTTAATTAGTCTTGTTAGAGGGGAACAGAGTATCTTTTTGAGATCGTGACGTTCCATTCTATACATACATAAATTTTTTTAAACTTTTATCTTCCCAAAAAAAAGGAAAGGGCATAGCCTTCCAAATTTTTTGAGAAAAAATTTTTTTGTCTCCGATTTCAATGAAAATTTGGCTACATATCAAAGAGAACAATGCAAATTAAGGAGTGGATTCAGTTGCTTCTTATTGACAAGGGTTTTATTTTTTTTTAATTTTCCTCTGTTATTAATAATCGAATCGTTCTCTAAACTTGCTCAAAACGTAGAGCCGAACGGATATAATAGAGTGCTCTTTGTCGCTCGTCTCTATCCTAAGACGTTTAGGAGATATTCAAGTTTATATATCCGTTAATTTTGCGTTACCCACAATGGCAATGCCAATTTCATGAAGAAACTTAATTTTGCGTTACCCTGAATTTTATAGTAATTTGATTGAGGAACTTAAATATCTCCTCGCTCTTCTGCTATCCTGATACCAAAATTTTGTCAACGAAATCGCAACTTTTACTAGTTTGAAACGGAAACCGAGTAAGAATGGAAAAATGTTATTTCTGCTCTGATCTTCATGAAATTCGGCACTACGTTACAGTAAACGATTTAAAATCTCTTTGGTGGTGTCTGCGTCTCTCTATGTTGGATACTTTTTAATAAATGAGCTCCAACTTTTTAATTAGTCTTGTTAGAGGGGAACAGAGTATCTTTTTGAGATCCTGACGTTCCATTCTATACATACGTAAATTTTTTTAAACTTTTATCTTCCCAAAAAAAAAGGAAAGGGTATAAGCCTTCCAAATTTTTTGAGAAAAATTTTTTTTGTCTCCGATTTCAATGAAAATTTGGCTACATATCAAAGAGAACAATGCAAATTAAGGAGTGGATTCAGTTGCTTCTTATTGACAAGGGTTTTATTTTTTTTTAATTTTCCTCAGTTAATAATAATCGAATCATTCTCTAAACATGCTCAAAACGTAGAGCCGAACGGATATAATAGAGTGCTTTTTGTCGCTCGTCTCTATCCTAAGACGTTTAGGAGATATTCAAGTTTATATATCCGTTAATTTTGCGTTACCCACAATGGCAATGCCAATTTCATGAAGAAACCTAATTTTGCGTTACCCTGAATTTTATAGTAATTTGATTGAGGAACTTAAATATCTCCTCGCTCTTCTGCTATCCTGATACCAAAATTTTGTCAACGAAATCGCAACTTTTAGTAGTTTGAAACGGAAACCGAGTAAGAATGGAAAAATGTTATTTCTGCTCTGATCTTCATGAAATTCGGCACTACGTTACAGTAAACGATTTAAAATCTCTTTGGTGGTGTCTGCGTCTCTCTATGTTGGATACTTTTTAAGAAATGAGCTCCAACTTTTTAATTAGTCTTGTTAGAGGGGAACAGAGTATCTTTTTGAGATCCTGACGTTCCATTCTATACATACGTAAATTTTTTTAAACTTTTATCTTCCCAAAAAAAAGGAAAGGGTATAGCCTTCCAAATTTTTTGAGAAAAAATTTTTTTGTCTCCGATTTCAATGAAAATTTGGCTACATATCAAAGAGAACAATGCAAATTAAGGAGTGGATTCAGTTGCTTCTTATTGACAAGGGTTTTATTTTTTTTTAATTTTCCTCAGTTAATAATAATCGAATCATTCTCTAAACATGCTCAAAACGTAGAGCCGAACGGATATAATAGAGTGCTCTTTGTCGCTCGTCTCTATCCTAAGACGTTTAGGAGATATTCAAGTTTATATATCCGTTAATTTTGCGTTACCCACAATGGCAATGCCAATTTCATGAAGAAACCTAATTTTGCGTTACCCTGAATTTTAGAGTAATTTGATTGAGGAACTTAAATATCTCATCGTTCTTCTGCTATCCTGATACCAAAATTTTGTCAACGAAATTGCAACTTTTAGTAGTTTGAAACGGAAACCGAGTAAGTATGGAAAAATTTTATTTCTGTTCCGATCTCCATGAAATACGGCACTACGTTACAGTAAACGATTTAAAATGTCTTGCGGGTGTCTGCGTCTCTCTATGTTGGATACTTCTTAAGAAATGAGCTCCAACTTTTTAATTAGTCTTGTTAGAGGGGAACAGAGTATCTTTTTGAGATCCTGACGTTCCATTCTATACATACGTAAATGTTTTTAAACTTTTATCTTCCCAAAAAAAAGGAAAGGGTATAGCCTTCCAAATTTTTTGAGAAAAAATTTTTTTGTCTCCGATTTCAATGAAAATTTGGCTACATATCAAAGAGAACAATGCAAATTAAGGAGTGGATTCAGTTGCTTCTTATTGACAAGGGTTTTATTTTTTTTTAATTTTCCTCAGTTAATAATAATCGAATCATTCTCTAAACATGCTCAAAACGTAGAGCCGAACGGATATAATAGAGTGCTCTTTGTCGCTCGTCTCTATCCTAAGACGTTTAGGAGATATTCAAGTTTATATATCCGTTAATTTTGCGTTACCCACAATGGCAATGCCAATTTCATGAAGAAACTTAATTTTGCGTTACCCTGAATTTTATAGTAATTTGATTGAGGAACTTAAATATCTCCTTGCTCTTCTGCTATCCTGATACCAAAATTTTGTCAACGAAATTGCAACTTTTAGTAGTTTGAAACGGAAACCGAGTAAGTAAAGAAAAATGTTAATTCTGCTCTGATCTTCATGAAATTCGGCACTACGTTACAGTAAACGATTTAAAATGTCTTGCTGGTGTCTGCGTCTCTCTATGTTGGATACTTTTTAAGAAATGAGCTCCAACTTTTTAATTAGTCTTGTTAGAGGGGAACAGAGTATCTTTTTGAGATCCTGACGTTCCATTCTATACATACGTAAATTTTTTTAAACTTTTATCTTCCCAAAAAAAAAAAGGAAAGGGAGCCTTCCAAAAAATTTGTGTGTGTGTGTGTGGTGTGTGTGTATTGTGTGTGGTGTTTATGTGTGTGTGGTAAGTGGTGTGTGTGTGTGTGGTATGTGGTGTGTGTGATGTATGTTGGGTGTGTGTGATGTATGTTGGGTGTGTGGTGTTTGTTGTGTGTGCGGTGTGTGTGTGTGTGTGTGTGTGTGTGTGTGTGTGGTGTGTGTTATGTGTGTGGTGGGTGGTATGTGTGGTGTATGTTGGGTGTGTGTGTGTGATGTGTGTGTGTGTGTGTGGTGTGTGTGTGATGTGTGTGTGATGTGTGTGTGTGTGGTGTGTGTGATGTGTGTGTGTGTGATGTGTGTGTTGTTAATGTGTGGTGTATGGTCTGTGTTGTATATGTGTGGTGTATGGTCTGTGGCCTGTAGCGTATGGTGTGTGGTCTGTGATGTGTGTGTGTTGTATGTTGTGTGTGGTATGTGGTATAGAGTATGTGGTGTGAGTGTGGTATGAGGTGGGTGGTATGAGGTGGGTGGTATGAGGTGGGTGGTATGTGGTGTGTGTGTTATATGTGTGTTGTGTATGTTATATGTGTGTTATGTGTGTGTTACATAGAAAAATGTTTCGAGTTAGATGTATGTGGAAAACGTATATATCAAGTTAACCTCTAAATATTTACAGAGGTGCTATAAGTTGGACAAAATAACCGAAAAAGTCTGTACTAACTAGATAGAAAATTCATGTGTTGAACAAATTAGATTTTTACAATTGTACATAACATCCTACTCACTGGTTGATTATATAGAAATTATTAAGACTCCTTAAAGGATTTACGAGGAAAATTCGGGCAAATAAAACGACAAAAACGGAAATTATACTTTTATTTATAATATAGATATATTTCAAAACTCCAATAATGTACAAAAAATATCTGTGTAATTAAATAATGCTTTGTCTGTCGTCAATTTGTTCATATTTTTTTTACTTTTCGGTGGCTAGGTGTAATTGACAATATAATCAAGTATGAATTCTATTTCTACATATACAAGGATGGTCAACTTTTCAACGGCAACCTATTAGCTACGCCCAATTTGAAAGACACAAATTATACATTTATTTACGATTTACGTCAATTTTAGTAACATATCAATTTTGGAATTAATCGTTAACCATTAGTTTTTTTTAGTTTCCACCGTTTTAATGATTTTTTTTTATTGTAAAGAAATGTATTTCTTTTTAAAGAATTTCGAATAGGGCGTGATTGAAAAATCGACCATTGCCTAGGATCGAGTCCTAGCAACAGTAACATGGCCAACGCCTATCACAATGTCCAACAAAACGGGCTTTCCAAATAACATACTTTAAATTATGTATAAAATATTAACAGTTACTAATTTATACTTTTTTGGTAATGCGTAGCTTGAACACTCACTAAAAGGAAGACAACACTAAACATATTCAATATAACAATTTACATAATTGTACCCCGGTCGAAAATAACTAAAAAATATTCACAGAAAAATTGAATTGATTGGCGGGAAATCGAACTCATAAAAAAAATCGTTTATTCCTCTTTATCAACGTTTCGTTAAATGTCAGTTGTCATAAAGATTGTTTAGTATCTTCAAAATATGCTTGAATAGTTTTCAGCACGTTTTTGAAGAACGGAAAAAATATAATTTCGTTAGTGTGTCAATTTAATGACAATCAAAGCAAAAATTACCTTATAATTTCTTCATATTGTAATCTAACCAGATCTTTAAAATATGTAATCATAAAAAAATGACATAATATACAATTTAAAAATAGTAAAACATTATTTTTAAGCTCGTTAAAATAACGTTAAAATCTTCTAAGCTAAGGGATAGTAGTTATGGCTTTTAAATTAAACGAAACCAATATGGTTTATTTGGCACCTAACTATTAAAAAAAAAGCTTATACGAATTATAACTTCAAACTCAATTTAAAAATAGTAACAACAATAATAGTAATAATCATAATAATAATAATAATAATATTAATAATACGCCAAATTTGCGTCATTTTGAATAATCTCATACAAATATCGAACATATGAAGTAAATCGTCTAAGAGCATTTAACGAATTCTGGTCTCCTCTTGCAAATCAATTCCGTTTAAAATCAAAGTAATATTCTCTCGATGCAACCAGAAGCCTTTCCAGTTATTGCGAATAAAATCAAAAATACGTTTTGCTTCCTTTAACTTTTTGTTAGGTAAAATCAAACCATCAATTTTGTTTCAATGGGCAAATTGCAAGAATTCGCATAGTTGCCAAATTATTATTTTCTAATGAATGAAAGGATTAGTTTAGTAATTGTTCGTCATTGGGTAAAATAAACTTAATGATTAATATCAACAAGGGCTTTCATAAAAAAAACATACAACATACAGTCCAATGGTTAACAGGACTTTGATGAATGTAAATGATAGAGGGGCTTATAATAGTAGATGAGCAATAGGGTTTCTGGCTCACTACTGCCAAAAGTCGCAGCTAGATGGCGCTCGTTAGTGTTGAGAATTGAAATTTGAATAAGTGGGTTATGAGAGGGCTAAGCGATCCAAAATGGCGGCCATAGTTTACGTGAACGAGTATAGATTAACGCTGAAGAAAAATCATGTGCAATGGCAATGTCAAAAGGACTAAAATATGTATCTTCGTTGCTACTAGTTCAATTCTAATGGAAAAAACGGTGTTGTAAAAGAAATGTATTAATGCTGAAAAAAAAATGCAACCTGGGGGAGTTGACGTAAAGTTTTAAGAGGTTGAAGGAGTCAAAAATGGTAATATCGCCATTTCCTACGAAAGCTGACGTCAAAAACAAAAAATTATGAAGCAAAAGTTGTAGAGCCAAAATCTACAAGTTTTGCTTCATACATTTTTGTTTTTGACGTCAGCTTTCGTAGAAAATGGCGGTATTACCATTTTTGACCCCTTTTCAACCCCCCCTGTAGAGTTAAATTTTTAACATCACTTCTGATTCTGACACCGTGGTGTCAAGACTGAAATAGCGGTCTCAGAATCGGGAGTCATGTGCATATGTGTTTCTGTAAAAATCTTTAACTTAAATGGCCATCCATTAGTGAATCTAGCTTTAATGGGATTATGCATCCTGTTTCAAATACATATTTTAATTATATTACTTGAGGGTATCTAATTGCCAAGAGAAAAAGACAATGATAGTCTCCCGTTTTGATAGCTGGGTAAATTGTCCTGAAGGATATAACCCAAAAAAAAGGAAGAAGAAGAACACTTTTTAACATAACCTCAACATTTTCGATAAAAATGCAAAAATTCGTTTATTTTTTGTCTTCAAAAATAATTTAATTAAGCACATTTTCTTTTTTTCTAAAAAAAAAAAAATACAAAAGATTTTGAGATATTTTTTTGGTCCAAAACACTTTTTTTAAAAAAAATTTACGGTGAAAAAATATCGTACAAAGTTCTTCCTTCAGGTACTCATTTTTTTCGTTTTGACATGCACTTTTTGATATAATAAAAAAATTATAGACACGATTAAAAAACATGCTCAAAAATTGATAAAAAAAAAAACTTTTATTATAAATATTAGGAAAAAAGTTACTGTTTATAAAAAGACGAGCATGGTCTAAAACCTAAAATACAACCATCGGATATCAAATTTTATCAGTCGTATACGAGGTTTGTCAAAAATAGAGATACTTTATTCTTCAGCAAAAATTATATTTTTTGACACACCTCGTATGCGGCTCAAAAAATTTGATATCTGATGATTGAATTTTAAGTTTTAGACCATGAAGAACTTTTTTTTCATAAAACTAGAATAAAAAAGTTTCCTATATGGTTTCAACTTATTTGGACACCCTGTATATTGCTCACCTATATGTATGGAGTGTAAAGGTCGCCTGAATGCAGAAAACTATGTCCATAAAATGCCGATTTTAGTTTTTAACACCAAATAAAGCAATGATGCCCTTGCTATCCCACATAGAAATTCCATCTGCAGTGGATTTCCTCTTACTGCTTAGTAAAAACATTGTAAAACATATTAAAAAAGTAACCTCTACAAGAGCAGTAGATTTTGTTTGATCTACAAATTGAATTATAAATTTTTGTTTTCGACATCAACTTTCACTGGAAATCGCGATAATATTATTTGTTACCCCTTTTCAACTCCCTAAAATTTCACTTCAACTCCCCCAAGTTGCTTTTATTTTTTTTTACTTATTACAAGCCCCTCCATCATTTACACTAACAATATACTTTTTTCCTTTTAAATGAGTCCAATACCTATATTCTGGAAGGCAAATCCTTCGCAGTACAGTTTTACTTTACTGTGTGTCCCTAGAACCCATCTGCATCCTGCTGGCGTTTTAAAAAGAGCCCGTTATTCAGATGCAGTGACTTTTTCTAGGAAAGCGTTCATTAGAATTCCTGTCAGCAAATTTTATTAGAAGATTAAGGAAAACATTTTTTCTTCGAACGACTTTTTTTTCTCAGAAATAAATACATGATTTATAATAACACGTCGACTGCCAGAGCACCATAATTATTACTCAGCTTATTTTCCACACACCCCACAATCAATTTTGACATAAATGTTTAATCTTTTGTGAATCGTGTATTTTTGTTTAAAACATTTTCGTTCTGTTTAGTAAACAGTAAATAAAGTTTTTATCACAATTACTTCGAAGTTAGGTATCTGGTTGCGAAATAAGAGAATTGTTTACAAATAAAAACATTCAAACGGGGTACGAATTTGAAAACAATGCCATTAAAAAACTATACTTATCATAATATATGCATAAATATAAACAAGTCCCTCAAAAATTAATTATTTTAAATGTATGTACAATTGCACGGTCACCCTTGCGCCTTCCGTTCTGTTGCTCCGCACTACCCTATTCTTAAATATATATTTTTCTTATATATTTATATATATAATATGTAACGAACAAGCAACGAAGTAATGCACTTTTGATACAGCTAACCTGTCTGGATTACAGCCTGTGGTACAAGAACCAATGAGGTACCTAGTAGTGTATATCTCTAATATGTACAAGCGGTCACTCCGAGAGCAGTTTCTGTAGAAGCGATGACTTCTGATCACCTTGTCGACCCTCCTCCATAGTATTCTGTAAAATAGAATTCATATTAGCTTTCAATATTTTTACAAATGCATTTATTAAAATACCAAATGTTCAGATATATGTTTCCGCTTAGTGGCTGTTATAAAAAAACTGCAATGCACAATAATAAAAGGCTCAAGCGTAACCTTAGATTAAAAAGATCAGAGATGTATGATGTCCATTTCAACCAATTGAAAATTATTCTTTCCACGATGCCACCCGAATTGCTCCAATATTTCTATTATCGAAAATAATCATAGAAATAATATAGAAGACCAATATAAATATAACATTTAAACATACCTAACACAAAAGAATTTCAAATTTATTTATTTTTAAATTATATGATTTAAACAGTTTATAGTTACGAAATAACTTATAAACATTTAAATAATCAACTAATAATATTTATGTGCTTACATTCCCAAAAACATACAAATACAGTATTAATGTTCAACAAGCGATTCACCTACTTAGGTTAGGTTAGGTTCCGTGAAGTTAGCACCGCCAAATCCGAATTTTTATAAAATTAAATTGTTATTCGTTTGTCCACGATTGTCCAACAAAAAATTTCGTTTGTTCACCCTTCAAAAAAAAGTTTAGCAAATTTAATAATTAAAGCCAAATTTCACAGCACCGCCATGGAACCTTTTTGATAATTCCAAAGTGGCATTCAATTGTCCACGATTAGTCGACGTTTGTCCAACCAAAATTTTTGTTTGTCCAACCCTTGAAACTGAGATATTTAAAAAATAAAAGAAATAGTGCAGATGGTCTTTGGGGACAACCTTAATACATTTCATGCGAATTACACACAACAATCGTTTGTCCATACATTATTTTCGTTTGTCCATCCAACAAAAATAAGTTATTAACAAATTAAAAACTCAAAATATATACAATTATTAATATAAGTAATTTTAATAGCATTTTAATAAAACTAACTATTGGAGTCGTTTGTTCATATATTATTTTCATTTGTTTAGTTCTTATTTTCGTTTGCAATAGTTAGTTTTAGTAAATTGCCATTAGAAGTACTTACATTAATAATTATTTATACTTTGATTTTTATTTGTTAATAACTTGTTTCTGTTGAATGGAAAACGAAAATAAAACCTGAACAACGAAAATTTGGTTTGGATGAACGAAAATATTGTGTAGACAAACGTTTGCAATAGTTATTTTTAATAAACTTCCATTAGAAGTACTTATATTAATAATTGTTTATAGTTTGATTTTTTTATTTGTTAATAACTTATTTCTGTTGGATGGAAAAACGAAATTAAGGCCTAGACAAACGAAAATAATGTGTGGACAAACGATTGTCATGTCTAATTCGTATGAAATGAAGTAAGGTTGTCCCCAAAGACAACCTGCATTATTTTTTTTTATTTTTGTAAATATCTCGGTTTTGGGGGGTGGACAAACGAAAATTTTGGTTGGACAAACGTGGACTAATCGTGGACAATCCTTTGAAATTATCAAAAAGCTCTTATGGCGGTGCTGTGAAATTTGGTATAACTTTTTTTTGAAGGGTGGACAAACGAAAATTTTTGTTGGACAATCGTGGACAAACGAATGGCAATTTATTTTTATAAAAATTCGTATTTGGCGGTGCTAACTTCAAGGACCTCTACAAATTCCATATTGACCTGGCAATACCACAATAAACCCGAGTTTCAAGGCTATATGATGCTGGCCTTACAGGACCGTTCGTGATATTTTGACTTGAATTTGTGATTTATTATTTAATTTTATCGTGAAAGTGGCATTTTATTTTTAGTTTTGTATAGTACTAAGTTAAATCCTAGGTACAAATAAAAGACATTTTTACATTGGCTAACTAAAATGTAATCAATGTGTTTAGCAACTGTTATATTTATTACAAGATGTATGTCTGGAAATCTAAACCTATCTAAGAATTATAATTATGTAAATAAAGAGGTGTATATTTATATATAGACTGCCCAGCGACGGAGAGACATTATCGGTATCTGACAATGAATGATTTTTTGTTAAAAATAGTAAACCGGTCATGATCTTTCTATCTAACATATTTATATTATATATTTATTTATGGTTTTTAATTAGTAGATTATTTTCGATTATTTAAAGGTAATCAAATAGTTGATTTTAGTGAAACTATGAACAGAAAATGGTTAAATTGAAACTAAAAGATTGATCGAAAATAATTATTTAAATTATTCAATAATTCGCTTTATAATTAATCGATTATTTTCAATTGATCGATTACTTTTGTAATCTAATAATCGATTTTAACGAAAATACGAAAAGAAAATGACTTAATTAAAAATAATCGATTTGAGGTAAAAAGGCTTTTTAATTAATTGATTATATTAAATTGGTCGATTATTTTCAAGTTTTCAAAGATAAACGATCTAATAGTTCATTATATGCTAAAAAATTAAATTCAAAGTTCGGGTCTTCTCCCAGTTCCCCTACTTCGTTAACCTTTCTTTAGAAATTGGCAAAATTCGCGCAGGTTAAACACCGGTGTATTTTACATCTCTGATTTCTTTAATATAAGAGCATAATACAGTTTAAGAGAGGAATATGAATTTCCATTTTTTTTTATTTAGTTCCAACTACATTAGAAAACAAGCAAAACTTTATATCATATAAAAGGTAAATAATATCAAATTAGAATTATTAATAAACATTTAAACATTGATAATTTTTGAAAAATGTATGTCAAACTGACAAGATACTTTTCTAAATAATGAATGTCAGGAATAAAAAAATAGTGTTAATGGATTACTCTATTAAAAATATATGTTTTCTTATTCAAATACATCTTACGAATCACATAAATTTCAACTCAATTTCAAATAAATATTTAGGAGAAAGTTTCGATATGTAAGTTTCGAGATATCATTTGGTTTTAAATTGAATGAAATTTGTTTCCGAAAAATATTTTCAAAAACTTAAGTCTCCAAAAATCAATGTAAACAATTAAACAAAAGTAATGTTAATGGGATAGGAAAAAAAATGAAGATATACTAGCTAAATGAAAAACAAATATAGCAATTGGATACACTAAATAGTTGAAAAAACATGGATAAAATTAGATTAATGGACGAATTGAAAACTATATTTAATACTTTTAATCGTAAGAAAGAAGTGTCAAAGAAATCGAAAATGATAGTGTTCAAAACCGTTTTTAAACCTATTTTAATATATAGGAGTGAGAGCTGGGTCCTAATAAAAGACATAACAAACAAAAAAAGATTACAAACACTTGAGATCTAAAGAGTGATATTAGGGATCACTAGAAGGGACAAAATTCGAATTGAATACATAAGAATGGAGCTAGAAGTAAACTTCAAGTTAAAATAAGAAAGAAACCAAGGGGAAGACTAAGCAAACCATGGGATAATGCAGTAGCAAAAATCCTGGAGGAACGTGGATCAAATTAGCAGGAGGCAAAGATAAAGTCTAAAACTAAACATTTGTACATAATTAAAAGCAACACCTTAAGGTTCTGATTATATACAGGGTGAATTGTAAGTGTGCATAGAAATAGTTAAAATAAAGATCTTTTCCAAGTATTCAAGTAACTTTTTTGAAAAAAACTCAAAAACACAAATATAAAGAATCAATAAATCTAAAACCGGGACTGAACTTGTGTAAGAAAATAAATTCATTTTTTTTACGAATATGAATCAAGAATATTGTATCGCAGTAGCCTCATTTGATTAGTGTTTATCTGTTCGAAAATTTAGTGCGTTTAGAACACATTTTAAATAATACTGTCAGGGACTTGTTGTTAAAAAGTGCGTGGGTGATTGCATGTCAGATGGAATAAATCAAACAAAAGTATGGGCAACTGTGGGAAACTCAATTGTATCCCTTTCAAGTTCAACTTGAAATGAGTTAATTTTTGTGAATGGTTCTTACAACGCATAAACGTTATACAGGACTGTATTGGATACATTTTGGAATTAATTATAGTAAGTTTATTTTTGAGTTATTTTGAAAAAGTTGTTTATTTTAATGACTTCTAACATAGTTAAAAAAGTTATGGGTATAAGTAATATAAAAAAAATAAAAATCTTATAATCTACCAAATAATATTAAATGTACAAAACAGACAAGCAATTACCATACTCAACAAAAAATATATAGAGTGCGTAAAAAACAAAACAAATCATGACATGCACAAGATGGGCGTGTTAGTAACAAGAGTAAGCTTGAAAAGAAAGCGTAAGTGGACAGACAGGTGTGTGTATGGCTTACCCTCGAGTTGACTGGCTGCGGAGACATTGAGCCCATATCTGAACCCATCGCGCCCCACAGTTTCGGGCTATCACTCGCACCTGCACGCAACAATGACAATCATTGTACACCATTGCACTCCCTACAGAATCATCCTAACTGCTCTGGCTACGTTTCATGCAACAAGACTCACATGTCTTATCAATTTTTTTTAAATATGTTATTTTAAGGGTTTCTATCAGAATTGTAATAAGAGATAAATGGCATTCAGCATTTTTAAATGAGTAGGAATATTTTAAATGAACTACAATAAAATTGCTGCTAGTTTTAAATAATTCATAGTTTGTAATGTTCGTATAGCTCCATGAACTTGGAACTCTGTCGAAAACAAATCAGCACAGGGATTCTTATGTGTGAACTCTACATGAAACGTGTTGAATAGAGAGAGACATTACATAAGAACTGCAGTCTGTTGAACGAAGATGTGCTGTATTGAAAGATCAGTTCTTAAAAGGTATATTAGCACGTCCATGTCAAATATCCGTATATAGTTCAGTTATCCCTAACTTTATCTTAGCCCTGTTAGACTGTATACAGTATTGACCTTCGAACATCTTCCAATATCCCTTGGGACAAGTGCGTATGAAATCTACAGAGGCAGCACTAGTGCTAGCAGGAAAAGAACACTACCAGTCCTGGCCAACGTTTCAATGCGGTCGGTTCGTATAAATGCCAATTCCTTTTCCGCTCGATCTAATGCCAACTCTCTTATTTTATCGCGTTTTGGAAGATGTTCAGTGACCGACCGTATATTATTTGCTTAGAAGAGCTAGAATTTTTCTATGCATGTGTCCTATTAACAAAGAAATCGACTCGTTATGCGTGTAAAAACGTCTCGCCCAAGCCAAATTGTAACTGTGCTGCACAGTTTTCAAAGATTATCAGCTTGAAGCGATTGTTTAATAATTTATATTGTACTGCTCTAAGCCATGCGATAAATATATATAAATGTCAAAGCAGGTTGCAAGTTTGCAGAAGATAACAAAGAATGATTGTTGCGTCATGAAAATTTAGAATTCTTGGTCTAAAAACAATCTGCCTGCGGACCTAGTCCATTGATGAGATAAAAGATGATACTGAATAGGCTGCTGCCAGTAGATTTTTCGTTGATACAGAGCAATTAGGGTGATATCTGCCCCTCAGTATGTTTAGTAAAACACAAAAACACACAATACGAACCACTTAGTGGACAAAAGAAGATAGGAAGTCATTGTAGAAAAAAAAATACACCAACCGATCTCCTTTTTTTTTTTCGTAATATTTATAACTGTACAATTCCTTTTTTTACAAAATAGCATACGTCAAACATTTTTGATTCACATTTAACTGTCAAATTATATTGTAAATTAACATTTTCTTTACAATGGATAATGTGTTAAATATACGAGAGTTTCAGCTAAAATTTCAGGTTGTATCTATTTCTTACATCTTCTATACCAGCGGTTTCCAACCTGTAGGTCGCAACCACTTGAGAGGATTCCAAAGTGCTCTCTAGTGGATTACAAAGTTATTTTTTCTTGTAACTATTTTCATTTATAATTATTTTTGCTTGTAATTGTTTTTACTTGTAATTAATTATTTTTTTACTTGTAATTAATTATTTTTACTTGTAATTATTTAAATATTTTTTACTTGTGATTATTTAATTATTTTTACTGGTAATTATTCTTATTTGTAATTAGTTTTAATTGAAACTATTTTTACTTCAAATTATTTAACTTAGTAGTTCTTGTGACTCTGATCATGTTTTTCCAGTGCTCTTCAATTAGTAATTATATTATTTTAACTTTTAATTATTTAATTATTTTACTTGCAATTAGGAATTAGTTTTACGTAATTATTTTTACTTGTAATTATGTTTATTTGTAATTATTTTTACTTGTAACTATTTTCACTTGTACTTTGAATTGTAAATATAATTAGTCATATCGACAATTATTTTTTACGTGTAATTATTTTAACGTTTAATTATTTAATTATTTTTACTTGCAAATATGAATTATTTTTACGTAATTGTTTTTACTAGTAATCATTTTTGCTTGTAATTATGTTTACTTGTAATTATTTTTACCCGTAACTATTTTTGACTTGTAAATATAATTAGTTTTACCGGCAATTATTTTTTTACTTGCAATGAGTTTTACTGGTAATTATTTTTATTTGCAATAGTAATTATTTTTTACTCGGAATTATTTATTTTTAGTTTTTGTTTTAACGTAATTATTTTTACTTGTAATTATATTTACTTGTAATTACTTTTACTTATAATTTTACGTATTTTTTACTTGTAATTATTTCAACATGTAAATATAATTTTGCTGGTAATAATTTTTACTCGTAATTGTTTAATTATTTTTACTTGCAATTAATTTGTAATTATTTTCACGTAATTATTATTTTTAGTTAGTTTGATACTGCGATGTTTTATTGCTTTTTTCTTTCAAATTAAAAAAAATCTGAAATATTTTTAATTACTTATTACTGATTTTTAAGGGTAAGTATTGAATAAAAATATAAGAAAAAATTACTTTAATAAATATTTTAAAATTGTAAAATGTTGTATTCTGCTTGGGTAATACTAAAATATTTATTAATACAAATAATTAGTGACCAAAGCAGGATTTTAATATTGGCCACACTTTGACTGTATATATTCATAAAATAAGAACATCACAGCTTCGATAGGGCCTTTAAAAAATAATCAAATTAATTTTCTATTTATTGTATTTTACTTGCAATTAGTAATTAATGATTGTTACTAGCCAATATTCTTACTTGTAATTAGTTTTACTGGTAATTATTTTTACTTAAAATTATTTTTATTTGCAATTATTTATTTTTATTCGTAATTACTCTTACTTGTAATTATTTTTACTTGTAATTATTTTGACTTATAATTTTGTTTGTAATTATTTTTACTTGCAATTAATTCTTTAATTAGTTAATTCAATTTGTACAATTATGGCGGAGGTCGCAGGTTACTTGGCAATTGTAAAAGAGGATCGCGACTCGAAAAAGTTTGGTAACCACTGTTCTATACTATACCTAAAGTTTAGCAGCAACTCTCGTACCCTTGTTAGTAAACGAAACCTATAGTGAATATATATATTAAAGTGCGATCAAAGGACTACAATTTACAATAAAAATAAAATCAAAAATGTTTGACGACATTATAAATATATCCCAATTGTTTTTATTAAACCCAATATTTGTAGTAGTTATATTATTAGAGAATGAAATATTTTCATTTACTTTGCAGAATGACCAATTAAGATACTCCAGTCTCCAATAATAACCTCCTGTCAAGCCAAAATCAATCGATTTTTTAATCATTATATATTAATATGTATCGTCGCTTATCACTTACCCGAAGACATTTCGAAGTTGAGACCTAAAGTTTCGAGATCACTGACTTGTTGCTGTTGGGACAACTGCATTTGAGATGGGGGCCTGTTCGGAGGCGGCGCAGACCCAGCGGACGGCTGCGCTTGCGCGGTCCTGGCTCCTACGACGGCGCGTAGCTCTTGGCGCACGAATTCTGAGGTGGGAGCACTCCCCGATACACCTGTTAGCAATCCTGAATTTAGTCATATTGATTTATTTGAGGTGTGTTTTTTTTTTAACAAATATTTTTTCGCTAGTTTCGTTTTGAGGTGTAAATATATGTTCTAATTTAATTTTGATGTAAACTATCACAATGCCAAAAAAACGAAGTGTCTCGAAAGGCCTAACATGTCCTATTTGGTTTTTGAACCTTTTAACAAAAAATAATACTAAATAACAAAGTTTGTATCACAGAAATAACGAGCAACCATTTACCTTCCAAAAACAGTTAACTAGCTAATACCGCTACAGGCATTGCATTACCTTTTCCTTTGTTTATTTTTAAATTGATCACATTTGAGAATTGGAATGCATTTTTCTTTAAATAAATAACACGTATATTAGGGTCCAAATAAGAAAGGACGTCGGTCATCACTAAAGGACCGTTTATCCAATAGATCTAAAAAAAATTAATTAACAAAAGTGAAATTTATTTTTAGTTCCTAATTTCGCTGCTAATAATGCTCATGACCAATGAAAACATTCAAAATTAAGTTTTGTATGTCAAAAATGTGAAAATCGCCAATTTTAAACAATTTTGACTATCCACTAGCTTATCTGTTTATTTTTGGTCCTAAGTGTTTCGCCATCTAGTGTCGAAGTTAGCAAGCGATTAGCTATGTCCTTTTCTTATATGAACACTAGGTACATTAAAAACTCAAAATCTTGTTAATTTCCGATTCTTCGTCTAATTAAACATTTTTATCTTTTACTTTCTTATTTATTATCATTTTCTTATTTATTTTCATTTTCTTATGTATTTTCTTATTTATTTTAATTTTTTTAATTTAATTTCTTTTCTTTTTTTTATTATTTTTCTTATTAATTTCTTATTAATTTCAATTTCCTAAAAATTTCTTATAAATTTCATATTAATTTCTTATTGTTACCTAATTATTTTCTTATTAATTTCTTATTAATTTCTTATTAATTTCTTATTAATTTCTTATTAATTTCTTATTAATTTCTTATTAATTTCTTATTAATTTCTTATTAATTTCTTATTAATTTCTTATTAATTTCTTATTAATTTCTTATTAATTTCTTATTAATTTCTTATTAATTTCTTATTAATTTCTTATTAATTTCTTATTAATTTCTTATTAATTTCTTATTAATTTCTTATTAATTTCTTATTAATTTCTTATTAATTTCTTATTAATTTCTTATTAATTTCTTATTATTATCTTATTAATTTCTTATTAGTTTCTTAATAATTTCTTATTAATTTTTTATTATTATTATTATTATATTTTTATTTTCTTGTTTTTTTTTAATTGTTTTCTTATTATATTTTTATTTTCTTATAAATATATTTGTATGAGTACAAATAACAACTCATATAAAAATTAAATCTATTATTTTATTTTAAATTTTAAACTTAGAATTATAATCATCGTCAAAGCTTTTTCTATATTAAAATCATAACAGATTTGTAGAGGTTTGTGATATTTATTTAAAACCATATGTTAAGACTTTCGAGACACTCCAGCTAAAAATTCAGTAATACTCTACTAATATACTATTTTTGTTTTAACCTACAGGCATACCTTTGAAACTAGCCATTCTAAAATATATGTTTCATTAAAATAACTATGTGTCATGCTCTTAAAATTATCTAAAGATTTTAGCAAGACAAATATAATAATCGTGATAGATGAAAAACACAAAGCACAAACTAAAAATTGGCAAACAAAAAATATTAAGCACACAAAAAAAAAGATAAAAAGCGACATAAAAACCAGCAAGGATATAACATTTCTAATGATTTTTACCCATGGCGATATTGTTGGATACAAATGGGATGATTTTTTTGGGATATAAAGGATAAAAGGATTTTTAAGTTTTTTTTCCCAATGATTTTAGCACAGCTATGAGGCGAGCACATGTAAATGTTTGAGATGTTTACAGTTCACAAAATTCATCACTTGCAATGGTAGCAATTTAATAAATATCAATCAATTAGTATTTTTCAATATAAAATCGATCTATTCACCTTTGGAATTTTATTGTTTTAACTTAAACATTATATTTTAGAAATTATATCTGATCAAGGTAATAAATCAATTTTAGATCAATCGATATTAATTTTTATAAATTTATAAGAATTCGTTATATTGACGGTGACTAAAACATGTGATATTGTAAACAGACTCTGATTGTATGAATGTTGTTAGACACAGGGGATTGTGCCAAAATGAGTGCTATGGTGAGGATGACCGCGATATCAAATCCTCAGAATAAGTATTTTTATTTTGTATCGAAGTGTTAAAGTATCTGATGCCTTCTCAATTATTTTATATACCTATCGGAAGAATTTTATTACCGAATTGTTTAGATTGGTTAGTTCGATACCGTGATTTTATTTGCTTTTTATTTCGAATTAAAAAGATCTAATCTGAAATATTTTTAATGATTTTTAAGCTAATAATTTTTATAATAGGAAACAACAATTTTAGGAAGGAAATGATTACTTTAAAAGTAGATGTTTCTGCTCAGCATTGTCAAAATATAAAAAAAAATGTAACTTGTCATAGGTACAATTAATTGAAATTATTTTAAAATTGGTAATGTTGTATCCTGCTTGGGTAATACTAAAATATTTATTAATACAAATAATTAGTGACCAAATGCAGGATTTTATTATTGGCCACACTTTGACTGTATTTATTCATAAAATAAGAACATCACAGCTTCGATAGGGCCTTTAAATAAATTAATCAAATTAATTTTGTATTTGAAAATCATATTCTGACAATGCTCAATTTGAAAATTTACCAATAAGTTTTTTTTTATCAATGTTTTTAATTTCTTTAAGGTGAATGAATGAATTATAGTGCCAATTAATAGTTCAAAAAGTGACTGGTGATAATTATGCACAACCCTGAGAAAACGGCTTATTTGATTTCAGGTCCGATTATTTCGTTTCGCGTAAGAATTTTTGCAAATGACCGAAAAAACCGAAAATAAACGCGTAGAAAAAACTGAGAAGGCGCAACAAAAGTGAAGAAAAACAAAAATAGCAAACAACCGACGCGCCAAAACTCAAAATTCTGAAGATTTTTCTTTCGTGGGGGGGTGTTCTGAGAGATAATAACAGAGGTGCCCCTAGCTTGCCAACGGACAACGACTTACCAGGCTGTAGGTGCGGCGGGGGGGGAGCCCGACCCCTGTCCGAGCCATTGTAGGCTATTGGTATACCCGTCTGATCGTAACAGTACTGGGAGTCTTGTTGGTAACTCATCATGGGGGGAACAGAGTGCGGATGGGGAGGAACGGGGGAATAGAGGTGGGGATGGTGGTCCCTGCCTGTGTACGGCCGGGGTGATCCCAGCCCACCTGTAACACACGCCACCCTCTCAATTCATGGTTTTCTATTTCCTGTCTTACCCTATATCCTACAAGGTGGCCGACGGTTAGCGTATATTCCTTTCACATTAATAATGACTTCTTTATAAATTCATAAACAATGGCAAAAAAATTAAATTACAGTTTTAAAAGTTGAAATTATTTAAAACCTAACCTATAATAAAAGTTAAATTGCACAATGGTATACAGTGTGTGCCATAAAGTTGAATCCATATAGGTTTTTTTTTATATTATGATTGGAAAAAAACGTTGCGAAATACGAATTTGACAGATAAATAATGTCAGTGGCAAACTTAGATATGGACTATTTTAAGTTTTGAAATAAACAAAGATGACTGCCCTATGACGTTTTTTTTTCAATTTCAATTAAAAAAAAATCCCACATGAATCCAACTTTATGGTACACTGTATATGTAGTTATGTTTCTTTATAAATCCAGAGTAGGTATGAAAGTCAAATATCGCGTAATATGAATTAGGTATGCGCTAGTTCAGTGCGATGACATTTTGGTTCCACTGACATTTAATTCTAACCAAACTTTTAACAAAAACATCAATAAATTTGACATATACGTTTTTACTGTTTTAATTTTTTTTTCAAAATATTGTTTACAGGTCATAAAAAATAGTTTAAAGGTATGTAATTGGTAACTAAACCATTGTATATTTGATACATGCCATCTACTTACTTTAGAAATATATTTATAAAAGTGAAAAAAAAAAAACGATATAATTTAGGTAAACAAAACGAACAAAACGCACTCAAAAATCTACTGTCACTTTAATTGTCAGTGGAACCATAATTACATCATCACTGAACTAGCGCATTATAACGACCTGTCAAACAATAGCTGCTAATGGGAAGGGCTTATACAGGGTGTTTCCGAACTTGGCGTCCAAATTTGTAGGGGTGGTAGTTCGCATAATTTGAGACCGATTCGCAGATTTCATTTTTCCAAAATATTTAAAAAAATAATTAAAAATTTTAAACAGGTACGGATCTGCACAGCGATGGGAACGCCTCGACTCGCGTGTTCTACGATCGAGTTCTCCGTAAGTTTGCTTAGAATCGACAAAATTGCAAATCGCATCTGTTTTTGAGTTGTAAATCCCGATGAGTAACCGATCAGGCGACTGTTGCGCTACGCTCTCAGGGTAGGACCCGCTCTTTGATTTTTTTTTATAATGGCTCTATTTTATTTATTATAATTTTTTTAGAAAAATGAAATCTGCCAATCGCTCTCAAATTATGCGAACTACCACCCCTACAAATTTGGACGTCAAGTTCGGAAACACCCTGTATATCTAAGGGGTTGCAACATAGCCTTCCATTTTAGACGCTATTTTTATTCGGAGCAGCAGTCACCAAGCCTGCCAATTTGTGAAAAATATATAAGCAGTTTCTAAAAATATTTTTATTGTGTATTTAAATTTAATCCATTATTTTACGACTTCACGTAGAAGAATACCATGGTACATTGCAACCCTTTAGACATGCCCTTCTTTTGTATGGAATGCCTCACAGTTCGTAGACAATACGGTGGCCTCATCACGGTTGCTAAGGACGCAGTAACGTCACTAGTTTTTTAAAAAAATCTAATATTTTATTGTTATTTTTATTTTTGAACATTGTTCTGGTGTTAGAGTTTTTATATTTCAAAATATTTCGGGATATAAACAAAGTGTGATCCGAATTTAGCAAGGAGGTCATACCCTAGTCCAAAATGTTTAAAATAAACCAATCACATAATATTTCTCTTTATAATTCAAATAAAACGTAATTCATTAGAAATTTGATTGAAATTTCAAAAAATCAAATTACTACCGATTTTATAAAAACTCCCAACACAGGTGTATAGTCCAAAAATAAAAATATAAACACCACTATTTATTAACCCTTTAAGACCTGATGTCCATTGTAATGTACATTAACTGTATGCAACTGTAGCTACTAGTAGATTAATTCAAAGTTGCCTATATCATTATGTAAACAATCTTGGTTTATTTGAAGTCGAAAATGTTTAGTCACTAGGTCATTAGGTGTTGAATTTAACGTATTGTTATCAGTTTGAAAGTTATTTGTCATGGTGGTGTCAACAAGTCAAAAAAAGACTAAGTAAAAAAATTGTTTTCTTTTAGTGAAAATGTATAAGTGTAATTGTGGTATAATATTTAGCATCTGTGGTAGAGCCACTGTAAATATTTGTTACTTATATAGTATACACATTATTTCATTAAAAATTTCTACAATTTTATTGTAAGTATAACTTGGCCCATATTTGTTCCTTTAATAACGGCCATATATTGTTTCACATTATTACGATAGGTGGATAATGTATTCCGCTAAGCTCTGGTCTAATGCCGCCTTCTTAAAATCAAATGAATAGTATAAGAAATATAATGAAGGCAGCGAATATGATACATGTAAGTTGGACTTGCACACATTTTGTGAGGAGATAGTTAGTTACCTTAGGTATGAAAACTTTCTTGAAAGATATCTTACCATACATAACCACTCAAATAAGGAGCAAACACGGATTAATGGAAGAGCCACAGTCAGTGATGAAATCGATTGGAGATTACTTATATATCTTATGTATAATTAGAATATAAATAATACAATAATACACAGTTTTAATATTTTTTTCTTTAAAAAAGGTTACATGTTATTATTTTTGTTAGAAGTGAACACAAGTATAATTTCAGATATAGTAGTTCTCACAAATGGATAATATATATGACATTCGTTTTTGGAAATGTCAAAATCAATTGACTATGATAAAAAAATGTATATTTTTGTTTATATTTTACGGAGAAATTAAATCTAATTCTTAATGTACATTGTAATGGACATCAGGTTTAAATTCAAATATTTTTGTAGGTTTTAATAAAATATTAGATTTTCTAAAAAAACTAATGTACGAACCGCAGCAGAATATTTTCTGTCAACTCGATTTTTAATTCCGTGACGTCACACTCTTCCTTAACAACGGACGACGAGGCCACCGTGTTGTCTACGAACAGTGGGAATGCGTAATATTATACACAGTGAAATATGTCAAATTTTCATAGCCTCCTTTTAATTAAAAAGAAACTAAATAACGTAAATATTGAAAAAATGGAGATGACATAATGAGAAAGGAACATAAGTCTATTTTACACCTTGATATTAAAGCCAACAAAACTATATTCACTCTAATCTTGTACCTTATGTCGTTTGCGTGTTATATTCCCCAATTTCACTTGAAATAAATACAATTTGAAATAAATATGAAAGAGTACAAATTCTTAAATCATCCAAAAAGAGACACTACAAATAAATAAAAAATAATTGAGTATCAATAGAATCTAATGATTGAGGAAAATAACTGAAAAAATTCTACCATGCATACTCATAGTAACAATTTAATATCCTAAGTAATTTGTTTCCTACGAATGCATGGGTAGCAAGTTCAAACCATGCCCAAACTTAGTTGGTAAAGAGAGAAGAGTATATAATATAGATGGTACCATTTTATATTGACAAAATATCTTTGTTTAAAAAAAAATCAGAAGAGCGACTAACTATTAATTTTATTTTTATTTAATTTAGAATCTAAAGGATCGACACACTATGGATAATTGTCAATATAAAAACAGAGTTATTCAAAAATCTCAAATTTTTGAAATTTTTTGTACAACTCGTCTAGTACCACGTGACAATATGACGAATCTAAAATTCTTAAGCTTTGTCGCATTGCCACAAACGAAATACTGTGAATAAAAATCTCATCTATTTTGCAACTTTTTTAAACACCATCAACTCTAAAAAAATAAAAATTAGTGTGAAAACTCGCACAAGTTCAAACTTCAAAATTTCAATGGTGTGAAATATTAAGTAATAAGAAAAAATCATAATTAGTGAGGGGTCCAAAACAGGTGTGTCGTAACAAATAATTGCTTTTGCACTATCAAAGGATAAAAAATTTGTAATAAAAATGTTTTCTTAATTAAAAGAATCAAACAATTCATTTTTCATGAAATAACGAGAAATACAAGGATACATTGTTACAGTTTTAATGCCAAAAACTGATTCTACTGCTGTTCACAGAAAATAATAATTACTATAGGAAAGATGGAAGAATGTCGAAGGAAAATCGAAAAATTTGATGTGTATTGATTATTTTCTACAACCTATTCTATTACCCCTGTAAATGTTAAGAGAATGAACTGAATGCATACATTTTCATCACACATCTTGAAACATTTTTTATATACAGTATGTCCCCCTAAGTTGGAATCATAGAAAACTTTTTTATTATTAATATTGGGAAAAAAGTTATTCTTTATAAAAAGTCGAGCATGGTCTAAAACCTAAAATACAACCACCAAATATCAGTCGTATAAAGAATAAAGCTACTTTACTCTTGAGTAAATCTCATTTTTTGACAAACCTCGTATACCACTGAAAAAATTTGATATTTGAAGACTGTATTTTAGGTTTTAGATAATGCAGAACTTTTTATGAAGGATAACTTTTTTCCTAAAATTAATAATAAAAAAGTTTTCCATATGATTCCAACTTAGGGGGACATACTATACTGTATATTTATTACCAACAAATATACCGAAAAATTAAAATTTTACACTTTTTTTTTTCAGGAACCACAAAACGTAAAAACCCGAAAAAATTGTGACTACTATACTTTCCTTATCTGTATACACAGAGGAACGTAAAAAAAGTATATGAGCCTTCCAAATAATTCCTAATTCTAAAATCAGGGGAATCTTCGTAAATATTATTTTTATTTAATTAGAAAGTACAACATCCAAACTCAGTTTATGCATCACTAAACTTTAGCTTGCTTGAAGCTTGTGCCTATACCCTATGGCTCGTATACTTTTTTCCTAACCTGTATATAAAAAAGAAGAAATAACTGTGAACCAGCTGAACTCAATAGTCAAAAAACAAAAGCATTTCATAAAAGATCCAGGTATCCCAATAAAACTTGAATGTCAACTCTCTGTCAATCTTTATTCTTTCTAACAAGAATTAAGCTTGGAAAAACCTGAAGGATCTTTTAAAAAAATGAATAGATCAGAAAAAGAACCAGACATTTTCAAACGAATAGTTATATCGAAATGGAGATGGTTAGGGCATGTGGCATGATAAAATTAACTAGGATAAATGGACAAAAAGTATTGTACCAGATCACACAGAATCTTTGGAAGGATACAAAATAGTTTAATCAATGATATCAAGAGGTCAACTCGGTATAAACTGATATTGACTGGGAAAGCGACACTCTTAGAATATTTAAGAGATTGAGCTTTGTCTAGGAGTGAATGAGACAAACTGCTGCAGCAGAAAAACAAGAAGAATAAATCCTGGCTTTTTAAACATACCTGTTTTGAATTAATTTGAATTCATTTTTCATTTGCAATCTAAATATTTGAAAAAAATATATAGAAATGACAATTCTTAATTATAAAAACTGATTTGTTACTATTTGTATTAAAAAAATAAATTAAATTTGTTTTTTACTTGACATATGTTTGCAGAAGTAACTTGAGCAATATATTTTTTACGACACCTATGAATGGCACTAAAAAATCGTAAAAAAGAAACGAAATCTTACCTGGCAGTTGTGTTGTAGCATTTGGAACGCTGTTAGTGCGCGGGAGTCTCAGGTACTGATTATTAAATGCCGAATTTGGCGAATTTGGAGGAGGATATTGGTCATTGGTAGCGTATGGCGAATGTCTGCTAGATACCGAACCAGGACTGTTGATGGATCTCTGCTGTTGCTGAGGAGGTCTCTGGAAATTTATTCATTAATTTAACAATAAATATGTTAATGTCTAAATGAACTACTTGTTGGTATAACTAACTTAAAAATTATATTGTATTCTACTTGGGTAATACTAAAATATTTATTAAAAGAAATAATTAGTGACCAAATGCAGACATTTAATATTGGCCACAGTTTGACTGTGCGTATTCGAAAAATAAGAATAGCACAGCTTCGATAGGGCCTTTCAAAAAATACAATAAGAATTTTGTCAATGTTATTCTTCGAATAAACGTTTAGAAAAACGATAAAATTCAATATTAACAATGAGGATAGCTATTTTTCATAATTCGATATTTGACAACGCTGCTTTGAACGTCAGCTATTCAGTAGAACATATTAATATTTTGCTAGTTATTTAGGAGAATGCGCCATTTTGACTCTTCCTGTCCGGCACTGTATGAGGAATATCGAAGTGTGACGAGTACTCGCGAATATTAGACTTTATGATTTGGAGATAATTTTCTTTTCCTGTTGAATCTTTCAAAGTAGAGTAAATATTTTGTGTGATCAATTTTGTTAGCCAAACGTAAGTATAATCGTATACCATTCTAAATTGCATCATAAATAATAAAGGTTTAACATCTCTGTAGGAATTTTGATTACAAATATATGATGACACATTTCTAATGAACAACCCGGGTGTCATGTTTCGCAACATTCGCGCGTCACAAACATTTTGGGACGTAGGAATACGTAGGCAAGTTATTGTTTGGCAGTCGTCAACGCAAAAAAATCAATTATTCTTGTAATCTCTATTTTTTATATTGAAAGAAAAACTCTGTATTAGTTAAAAGAAAGAATGGTTTGTTGTACAATAATTATTAATGTGTTCCTGTCCATGCTAATATTATACAAATAGAAAAATTCGCATTTTTTTTTATTGACGCAGATAGTTTTAAACCAAAAGATTCAAGCTGTGGCCAGTCTCAGAATTGGCACTAGTGATGGGGATGTAGCCAGCAGCATCATCCCCATTCAATCTTGCTTTGTAACAAAGTAATAAATATTAAGAATAAGAGTAAAATAAATGAGACCGATAGTGATGATACTGAAACTGAATTTAAATAGGACACAGATAATTTGATACAAGATGATGACGAAAACCAATATGATGAAGATGAAGAAATTGAGGAAGTGGTGTTGGAAGAAAGTTTTGATGTTGATAATATTATACAAGAACTTAGTGATGCTAACATTGCAGCTATACTGACCCGGAAAAATACTTTTGTTGAGGAATACACAAGACTTTTTTTGTTGTTGTTAATTTTACTTCAAATACACTAGTATTCTTCTCAAAAAAAAGAGTTATGAAGAGCTGCGTTTTTTGGATCGGGAATAACCCTACCCAGAGAATTTTAATGTAAAATTGGAGCCTGGAAAATATGAGCAAAATCTAAAGGCTTCGTGTCAAAATGACGGTACTGACAGCTGAACAAAAACAAAAAGCGATTGTAAGTGGCAGGTGATAACTATAGAAAAACAATAAACGATTTTAAAGAATTTATCCAGTTTTTTCTAGTCATACCTCGTAAGGAGTCTTATCAAGTATTACAAAGCGTTTTTTTATGTTTTTTTTGTTTCCTTAAATGTAATCTATCCCAACAATAATTTACTTACGGTAAGTTGAGCGCTGAGCATGGGATTCTGCTGTACAGTCATCCTGGATTGCTGCTGTTGCCAAGAAGCGTTCTGGGCGTTGCCTTGAGGATAGGCCTGTCGCGGCGACAGTTGGGCGTTGAACTGCGATTGCGGCGACATACCGGCGCCGGAATTCTGGTAATTAGCCACGGAGGTAGTTTGCGGAAAGGCGGGTGAAGTCATTTGAGAGTGCGGCGAATAAGGCTGCTGATTGGCCACTCTGGATGTCTGGCCGTAGGGCGGCGACAGCTGAGGTTCGTTCGGTACGCTCGAAGAGCGCTGCAATGACACGTTCGGGGCCACCGTGTTGTTTAGGAGGCTATCCATGCTCTGGATTGAGTTGATCTACAAAAAACATTCCCATCGATGTTTTTATTGCATAATATACAGTGTGTTCCATAAAGTTGGATCTATATGGGATATTTTTATTATTACGACTAGAGAAAACGTCGTGAGGCATTCATTTTAAAAACTTAATACAGCACATATTAAAGTAGGCTACATTAGTTATCTGTTAAATTCAATATTTTTTTATAAAAATCGTTCAAATCATTTTTTTATAAATGCAAATGTGACAGAAACTATTGTCAGTAGCCAAATTTGACATGGGCTATTTTAAGTTTTTAAATAAATAGAGGTGATTGCCCTAAGATGTTTTTGTTTCTAATCGTAATATTAAAAAAAATCACATACGGATCCAACTTTATAACACCCACGGTATATTACATTCCTTAACCACCTGAATAATGTGAATAAGTGCATATTCTAATTTTGGTAACTTTAATGTCTGATAAACCTACTTACTAGGACTTACTTTATTAGTTACTTTGTAAGTAGTTACTTTGTAAGTAGTAAGTAGTTACTTTGTAAGTAGTTACTTTACTTTGCAAGTAGTTACTTTGTAAATGGTTTCTCATAAGTAATTATTTTACAAATGGTTCTTCATAGTTATTTTGTAAAAGATGTAAATGGGCATAAGTAGTTAATTTGAAAGTAATTAGTTACTTTCTAAGTAGTTAAGCAATTAATTACTTTCTAAGTAATTATTTTAAATAGTAGTTACTTTATAAGTATCTATTTTCTAAGTAGTTACTATGTTACTTTGTAAGTGAGAAGTTACTTATTCATAAGTAATTAATTTGAAAGTAATTAGTTACTTTTTAAGCAGTTAAGTAATTAATTACTTTCTAACAAATTACTTTGTAAGTAGTTACTTTATAAGTAGTTACTTCCTAAGTAGTTACTTCCTAAGTAGTTACTTCCTAAGTAGTTACTTCCTAAGTAGTTACTTCCTAAGTAGTTACTTTCTAAGTAGATCATTTGTAATTACTTTATAAATAGTTTTTACGTAACTAGTTTTGTAAGTAAGAAGTTACTTCATCATAAGTAGTTAATTTGAAAGTAATTAGTTACTTTTTAAGTAGTTAAGTAATTAATTACTTTCTAAGTAATCACTTTGTAAGAAGTTACTTTATAAATAAGTATTTACTTTCTAAATAGTTTGTACATAGTCACTTTCATGAATTGTTATTATATCAGTAATTACTTTGTAAATACTTTCTTTGTAAATAGATAATTTGTAAGTAGTCACGTTATAACTTTCATGAATTGTTACTATATCAGTAATTACTTTGTAAATACTTTGTAAATAGATAATTTGTAAGTAGTCACGTTATAAATAGTTAATTCGTAAGTAATTTGTAAGAAGTTACTTAGCATCACAGTTGTTACTTACATTATTAGAGATCTCATTAGCGTTGGCGGCAGCACTGGACGATATGAGAAGGTGTTGCTGTTCCTGCCGCATGAGCAAGCGGCGTTTCTGCTCCTGTTGGTACAGCAGCTGTTTTCTTTGCAATTGCTGTATATTAGCGTTGGAAAATTGCTGGTTATCTATGCCGGAACCGCGGATCTGCATTCTTTGGAACTTGGCCTGCGAGTAATTTGGAGGCGGCGGAAATACGGAAGCCGCATTCTGGTTCAACTGTAAGAAAATATAGCAAAATTACATAGTACAAAATTATCTTGACTTTTTTATGCTTACGCTTGCTGAAGAATAAGCCGGCGGGGTACCGGAGTGGGATATTGGCGATCCGGGACTTTTGAGAACGCTTTCGCACTGCATCAGCAATTTTTGGATGTTGTTAATGGCCACAGCTTCACTGAGACCGAAATTGTTGTTCTGTTGACCGTCGCCGCTATCCGGAATATGGATGATTTCGTCTGGCACAATATCTATGACCTAAAACAAAATGTATTGGTTTCAGCTTCACGATTGCTTGGAACTTCTGGACGTTCTACCTTTTTCCACCATTTATTAACATCCTTTGTCGGCGAGGATAACTGCATCTTTGTAAATAGTTACATTGTAAGTAGTTATTTTGTAAATGGTTCTTTACAATTAGTTATTTTGTAAATGGTTTTTCGTAATTACATTTTAAAGAGGATTACTGTAGCTTTTGAGTTTGAAAAAATAAAGCAAAGAAATAAATGATTACACTTTAATGTCTGATAAACCTACTTAACAGGACTTACTTTGTAAATAGTTATCTTGAAACTAGTTACATTGTAAATGGTTACTTTGTAAGTATTTACATTGTAAGTAGTTACTTTGTAAGTAATTATTTTGAAAATGGTTCTTCATAAGTAATGATTTTTTAAGATGGATCACTGCAGCTTTTAAGTTTGAAAGAATAAAACAAAGCAATACATGTTAAACAAATACAATTTAATTTTTGTGGTTTGAAAATTAAAAGGCAATTATCAATTAAAATGTTTTATTAATTTGCCCAATTTACGAAGAGAGTTTTTCATAATTTGATCGAATTACAGCGAATTATAGATTCAATCGAATTAAGAATCGATTACAGCGAATTAGGAATCGATTACAGTGAATTATGAATTGTATAGAGATCGTGTTACAGAAACTTCGCCATACAGACGTATTTTTTACTCGATAAAGATAAAATTAACTGAATTTTTCTGACAGTTTGCAGTCATTATTTGTTTTCATTTGACATCTGGTGGATTTTTTATATACAATGCAGTTTTTGGTGCCTTATTTTAAAAAGAATTGAAACACCTGTAAAATGTCATTCACTGGGCTGTAAACTAACAATAATAAATAATATAGCAAAATTATAATTATTCATAAATATAATATATCATGCTCTGTGAACATTAAAATAATAACCAATTATCTGATGGCCAGATTTTAAAGTTGGAACATGTTGATGTTAAAATATATTTTATCTAGTTCTTATAATGGTCAAACGCCATTCGCCATATTAATATTTCGAAAGTCGGTATTTTGTAACGACTGAAGAGAACGCTTTTCTTACCTGATCCAAAAGTGCTGATAGCATGGGATCGGAGGCTTGGGCGTTGTTATCCCAAAGAAATTTGTGGTCTGTGGTTGAGGTGGCAGGTGACGTAAAACAGTTCGAATTCACCTGATTCATCTGGCGGTTATCGTTGCGTTGAATATTATTGGACAGAATGTTGAGGTAGTTATTGGTTTGTTGGGACGGGCGACCAGGCATTCTAAAGAAATAAAACAATAGATAAATACAATATTTTCCTTATAATATTTATTTGATATAAGCTAAAGTAAAATCAATATCTTTTAAAAGACAAAGTTTTATTATTTATTCTAGTTATTTCCCAATATTAATAAAATTACGATGATAATGTAAAAAATTGTTATCTTTATCAATTAGCTGATAAGCAAATAAACTATTATCATTTAAAATGCTGTAAAATATATTGTTTTGACAATAATTACAACACACAATCACATATCCCGTATTGTTTTTTAAATGCCAAATTTGGTCATTTCGTACATCCAAAAATAGTGCGGAAATGTTATTCCACACGGTAATTCTCACACTGTTTAGTGCATTGAATAAATTGTATGACTATTGGTGTAAATTACGAATAAAGAAACACAAAATTATATGTTAAGAAAAGCTGGAAACAGTGGTCTAGCATGGATCGAAGGTCGGAGAGGGCGCCCAAACCTGCGAGGGGCACCGAAGGTGCTCTAAACGGAAATGGCGAGGGAGCTAAGCGCCCCCTGCCCCACTATACGCTACGTCACTGGCTTCAGCCGGTACTATTACTAAAAAAATATGTACTCAAAATGATCAATGACTTGTGTAATCAAGTGACATGCTTTCAATATTGAACAATTAATTTTAAGATTATGGAAAATTACTAATAGTGGACTGAAAAACGGGCAAAAAGGTTTCAATTTTTTCTTTAAGGTACAACCACATGTGGTCTTTACAAAATAATAGACTAGATTCCTGACCATCTAAAAGTGTAAGCGGAGATTACTGCGTTAGTTTCATTAGTATAGAAAACATAGTTTTTTTGTAAAACTAGACAAAACTTTAATCTTTATTTTTTTGCAGCACTATTTTCAGTAATCGAGAAACATTTTTATTTTTCAAAATTTCACTAAACTATCTGCGTACCAAATAAAGCTAAAACTTCAAGAAAGTTTTTAAAACAACAATCACTATTCTAAGTATCATAGTTTTCAAGCAATAGTTACTTGAAGTTAAAAGGTTCCGCACCTCCATGGGCCACCGCGCCGGCCGCGGCCGTGCAGCTAGCTTCGGAAAAGTTTCCATATTACATTTATTTTTGTCGAACGTTCGTCATTTTGTCGATTTTAATGTAAAAGTTATCTGGACGTTTTGCAGGTTTTGAATATTTGAAATACTCTATACTCCATTGCCATACAGTGTGTGGTATTTTTTTTTCATCTATTGTGTCCTTATTTAGATCAAAATTATCAATACTGGCATGGATATAATTGCCTTTTGATTCCTCAACAATTTCAAGACCAGGTTGCACATACATCGTGTCGCTAGAGATTTTTTGTCCGCTAGGGCAGTTGTTAATTGTCTTATATCATTATAGCTACAACTTAGACCAATACTTGATAAAATATCTAAAATTTTCTGACAAATGATAAATATAGATTCCTAGTCCCATTTGAAAATTATTTCTTCTATACATTTTGTCATAAAGGCTCATAATAATGTTACAAGGAACAGCTGCTTGTGATATAATTTTATCGTTTGCACTCTCATAGCAATCATCATCTATTAACCATGATACAAATTTTAGCAACTCATTGGGTACTTGCTTTTTAAACTCTGCCTGTTTCATATCATCCGGATTTGGAAAATTGCTTTGTGGGATATCAAATTCTCTATTTTTTTTCTTTTTTAAAATACCCGCCGCTTTGTGTAAAATAAGTATTTCGTTTTCTTTAATAACCTGGAAATATTCGTTGTAAGAGGCAGTGGAGTCTGAGCTGGTTGAGTCTGATAATACACTTTCGTCTCTTAATGGTTGCAAAGTTGTGGTAATCAGATTTATTTTGACAAGTTGTGATGTTTCGTTTACTAATGTACTGACAATAACAAAAACAATAACTGATATTTAGCATCATTGGTAAAAAGGTCCTCATACCAGCTAATTTAGAAACCATGTCAATATCTTGTCGTTTTTGGGCAGCTTTGATTATCTTGGAGTACGTATTTTTGCCGGTTCCTAAATAAGAAAAAATAACAGATAACAGCATATTACTTGATATCTAACGGTTATAACTGTTAATGAGAAAAAAATATTACGAAGAATAAAGTTTTTTACCAAAATCAGTATTTTTCAGTTTAGTAAATAATTTCCTATTAAAAATGTGAAGCAAGATTTTTTAAACGGACGTAACTTAGCTTTTACAGTTATTAATCATTATGTTTTTACAAAATTTAAAAAAAAATTAACTTACCTGTATGCACAGATGTTAAGCACTGTTGGCCTTTCTTTCCAGATCTGTTACATATTAGATACATTTGCCGAATATTAAATCCGTCTTTAGGATATCTTGTCCAAGACGATGAAGCGTTTTCGGTTTCACTGCTTTGAGAAACATATCCAATATTTTGTAAACTAATAAATGTTTGTCTGCAAGTTTTATGAAATTATACTTTAACCTTCCCTCCTAGGATGTCATCCTTTTGATGCAAAATCTTTTGAGCACAAGTGTCTTTCCTTTTTTCTGCAGCACATATAATTGTTTTTATTCCTTTCAATCTTGGATTTTGCGTCACAAGTTTGTCATTTTCTTGCAAAGTCTGACCACAAAATAAACACAAAAAAAATCTCAAGAGACACACACACACATCCAAAATAATATCTACCTTACTAATCGCAGAAAAAAGAAAGACTGTTTGTTAGCAACTGAATCAAGTTATCGACAAATTTGCCAGGAATAGACAGGTCGCTTCATGCGTATGCGGGACGCGGAGAGATGTCGGCTCGTTAGAAAGCACAATAATTAAACGCGGCTGAAGAAACTTTCAAGTTTGCGTATTTATTGCTCAAAAACTATGATACTTATAATAGCGATTCTTGTTTTAAAAACTTTCTTGAAGCTTTAGCTTTATTTGGTACGCAAATAGTTTGGTAAAATTTTAAAAAATAAAAAAGTTTCTCGATTACTGAACATAGTGCTGCAAAAAAGTAAAGATTAAAGTTTTGTCTAGTTTCACAAAAAAACTGGGTTTTCTATACTAATGAAACTAACGCAGTAATCTTCGCTTACGTTTCTTCTGCCGATTAAAAAAAAAAGTTTAAAATATCTTGTTTAGTTCCGGAGATATCGCGAGGTATGTATGAAAAAGTAATAAAACATAATTTTGACACATTTTTGACAAATTTCGCAATAAAAATGTTGTCCCTATTAAAAAATGTTGTAATTGCCGATTTCAGATGGCCAGGGACCTAGACTATTATTTTGTAAGGACCACATGTGGTTGTACCTTAAAAAAAAAAATTGAAAGCTTTTTGCCCCTTTTTCAGTCCACTATAACTAAAAAATCTGATGTGTTCAAGACATGATTTTCCTGTCTGATTATTACAGGCTTTTTACGGTTATTTTGTACAACATATTGTATCACCCCTGTAAATATTCATTGCCAACGATAATACTGAAAAATTTTAATTTTATACTTTTCCTCAATTCTATTCATTACGGTCCATTTTAGAGAAATCATATATGGAATAAAAATTATAGAGAATAAATGATATATTTTCTTAAAAATTAGAATTTTGCACTTTTCGTCAAATTTCTCAAATACTGACCATTTTAGAAAAATTACATATATAGAACAAAAATTATAGATAATGACATTACAAGCAACTTTTATTTAAATAATTTTCTTCTCCAAGCGTAAATAACAGATATATTTTATAAAATAGAAAAAACGACCCCTATAAAGTACCCCCCAGATGTTCCGACTATGCCCAAAATCTAATCAGTTCACGGTAGGCTAGAATAAAGCTTAAATTTTAAATTTGGCGTTTTTCTCTGTATCCGTTCACGAGTTATCAAATATCCCAAAATGCAAAACTCGAGGTCGAAAAAGTCTGTATAGACAAGAAAGTAAATGTATGAAAAAACCATGAATATCTATGATTTAGCACCTATTAATATTTCTAATTGTAATAAGCAAGTTTAAAATTTCAATAAAAAAAATACTTAAGTACATCAAATTATTACAAATAAAAATGTTTAATTTGTGTTTTAATCATTGTGATGGTAGAAAAAGTATAGTACGCTACTCGTGTAGAAAACCTATTCCACACTCGTATGATTAAATAAAAAAAAAAATATCCTGAAATACTTTAGGACTTCACAAGTTCGTTTCACAACCCATCGACTTTAAATTGCTTTGTAATCACTTTTCATAATTATTAATTACATTGCCATTAAAGTTTTTGCGTTTATTTTCCACTGACACCATTGAAATCGTTCGATTACTATATTCATAGGCTTGTTTTCAAGTAGCTCGAGGAATGTCCCAAGATTTATCGACGATGATAGTTAACTGTTAGCTGTTACATATTTTATGTAAGTAACTTGTTTATGCCTATTAACTAGCAATTAATTAATAGAGCTTAAAAGAATATATACTGTAATAGGTAATAAAAACTTCAATACTACAAAGTGTACCAAATATTTATATGTGCCATATTTAATTTTGTTTAATATGCTGTATTGGTAACAACATAATTTGTTATAGAAGTAAAATTCAACTGTCAACAAATTACGTAATATTAATTAAATCTGTCAGCTGTCATATTATCTACACCTGTCACAAACATCGTTAACTTACCGGTTGACGCCCATCCTTGAGTTGTTCATGTTTTGATTCATGACCATTTGAATGGATTTGTTAGGGTCAGAGATCCTGGGCAGTTTTTCTTGGGGTGTGGCAGAGATCACGCTGGCAGGCAATTGTGGAATATTCTGGAGGTTTGGAGGCTTTTTGGCTAACAGTGAAGCTAACATCTTGTTTCGTTCGCGTAACGAATTGCCTGTCGATGTACCAGATGAGGACACCTAAAAAATGCAAAGAACAAAGTCAAATAATATCTTTTAAAATGTTTATATATAAATAGGTAGGCAGAAGGATAGCGACCGATGAGTTATTAATTCAATAAATGATATTTAATAATAAAGAAATATATATTTTCCATCGCCAAATAGAATTATCTTATTTTCGCATACCTATTTTTTTAAATTTTGTAAAAACTAATCAGCTGTGAATAATTTAAAATTTTAAAAACAGAGATAATTGTTATTATTATAAAAACATATTTTGACAATACTGTAAATCTTTAAATGCGATTGCATACTGATGCTATTGAGATAGAATAAAAAGGAGATGCTATGACGATGCTAAAGTGTCCGCACCTTTGCATTACACGTTTACGTCATATGTAAAGTGACCATATTTTGAAAAGTAGAAAACGGGACAAATCGAAAATATGGAGATTTTTCGACAAATTCTATCGAGCAAAAAAAGAAGAAGAAAAAAGGCAGAAAAAAAAAAGGCAGAAAAAAAAGGCAGAAGAAAAAAAAGGCAGAAAAAAAAAGGCAGAAGAAAAAAAAAGGAAGAAGAAAAAAAAAGCAGAAGAAAAAAAAAAGCAGAAGAAAAAAAAAGGCAGAAGAAAAATAAAGGCAGAAGAAAAAAGAAAGGAAATATTTATGAAGTGTGTTGTAGTAAATAAATTGTAGTTGGGAGGCTTGAATGATATTTTTTTTTTCATTGGGCAGAAACGGGAGAAATCGGAACACATTAAACGGGACTCGGTGCTTTAAAATCGGGACTGTCCCGTCTAAATCGGGACTGATGATCACTTTAGTCATATGTCAAACTCTAGATAGTCAGTTTTGGTGAGAATCAATGCCATTTTTTTTAAATAGCTTCATTTAAATAATATATATATAAATTATTAATTTCAAATAAATCAAAGTACGACTTAAGTCGCCATTTACACTTTTCCGTCAGTCGAAGTGCGTCCATCTATCTTGATGCTACAAACTGAAGCAACATATCAACTCAAAATTGGGGAATAAAATAATAGGAGAAAATGTAAGATTTTGTATTTAAAGTTTTTAAAGTATTTAAATTGTTTTCACTGAGAACTATTCTGGATCTTATTCGTCTGGTTTAATGTGCTAGTTGCGTTGTTTATATATTTTTAAATAGTATACAAATGTTTTACATACCTGGGAACCATCGCTACTCCTCTTATTATTAAGATTATCGTCCTTGTCATCTATCGATCGTTTCCTGCTTCTATCTGTAGGCGAAGAGGGGAATCCCAAACTTCTCATCAAAGTGTCGTCATTACATTGAAGATCGTTCTTTTTGTCGTCATCACCGTCTCGGTCGGGCTTCAGCAGTTGCTGCAGCAACTCGCTCTTCTTCTTCATTCCCGCTCGCGATTCCAAGTCGTCGTCATCGCTCTTGTCATTCAATAACTAGAAATAAACAAATGAGATAAAGTCATCTGCTTTATTGCTGATTGTATTATAATATAGTATCATGATTCGTTCATTATTAGATTTTGGCAATATTTTTAACTATTGACTGGGAAACATACAGTTTGTTCGCTATACTTACGCAGGTTTCGGATTAAGAAAATTATGCAAATTAGTCATTGACAATCAATTCCAATAAGTCTCTTCCCAAGAAATTAGGTAAAATTGCCCTAATGGTCAGATTTAAATTAAAATAACATTAGGGTAGATACTAAATTTGTTACAAATATTGCAGTTGAATTGATTCTTTGCAAGTGTTAACATTGTATGTATATTGTAAATTTAGTGGAAATTTTAAAAATGCCTAGACGTGTGTTAGATGTAATTTGTAGTGTACATAAGTATTTTACGGATGGCGGTCCTTTAAAATCGGTAATGTCTGTACAAAAAGGCGTATGCGATGCTCTAGGAATCAGTGAAACCAAATTAAGAGGATTATTACAAAATCACAATAGTGAACTGCCGAAAGAAGATCACCGTAAAACTCGCCCATCATTGAAAACGAAAGATGGAAAGAAATTTGAAATTCGTGATACCATTTATCGAATGAGGGCCATCAAGGAACATGTGACCTTAAATACAATTCTCTCGGTATTAATAGATAGAAAATTTGACGACATTGGCAGAACAAGTCTATGGCAAGTGATACATAACTTGGGTTTCAAATTTCAAAAGGAGGATAACAGAAAGGCCCTTTGTGAAAGAAGTTCTGTCGTGCACAAGAGAATTAAGTTTCTAAGAAAATATTCTAAATTTAAAGAAGAAGGGGCGAATTTTATATATTTAGACAAAATATGGTTCCTTAGGCCCATCCCGTCTGAACTTAACCCCCTAGCCGTGTGTTATCTAGAGGCCAATTTAAATACAAATTGGGCCCCTCTATATAACTCGTGGTTACCGCTAAGAGTGGACCTTAGGGTCAGTCAAAACAGGCCTATAATCTCACTCTTAACAATATGGTAGTTAGCAAAGAATAAAAGCTAGGTAGTAGTTGATAGTCGATGGCCTAAAAACAGGATGAATCCAATATATTGAAGTTTTTATGATGAGATCAAGGTAGCTTACCGTCAAGAAGTAGCGGCCTTCTAAGATATGTATAAAAATCCACAAACGCGTATAATCAGCTTTGATTAATTTTTCATTATGCAATATCTTTGACGGAATTTCTTTTTGTTTTAGACTTTTTAAAGCCGAAATAAATTTCGATTATGGCCCAATATCAGCCCAAAAAAGAGATAGAACCAGGAAGTGAAAGAGAAAGCATACTTCCTTGATCTAGGTAGGAGATTTTTGGTGACAATAATAAACCTAACCGTAGTAGGCTTTTATGTTAATATTTTTAGGCAGAAGAGTACCTAATATTTTGGACAACAATGGGAAAAAGGAGAGTTCAAGTTCAATGTCAATATTGGTTGTACTTTGGAATGTAAACAATAATTCAAGTAAAATAAATAATTATTAAATTTCTATTAGCATTATTTTAAACTGTAAGCATTTTTTTTTTTTTTTTAGTTTATTTTAATTTTAAAATCTCTGTTGCACAAAAGTATTGAGCCTGTAACATGTGTACTTTTTTAACCTTAAAATGTCATTTTGCAAGAAAAAGGACCTGGTTTGTAAAAAAAAATATAAGCTAAGGACCACCTTTTTTTTGAAGCTCGTCAGAAAGACTTTGTTATTTATTTCACAAATTTCCCTTTCGTAAATCTGGCACAACCCTATCTTTATTAACTTTTCAAAAAGGTGGCAAACAAACTATTAATATTATCGAAATCAGGTCTATTCAGACAGCATTTATGGCACTACTATAGAAAGTAATTATGACCAATTCACTTTAAATACATAGGAGAACACATGTTCTTGAAGTGTGCAAATCAATTAATACGTATTTCACGATATTTTAGAATCTGCATGACACATGTTGTTTTATTCAACGTTCTGATGGCATCGATAGTTTACCTTTTGTCATTCTACATAAAATTGAGGAAGATGTGCCTCCAGGATGTCAACGTTGTGCCAAATGTCTGATAAAATAACACGCGGATATTGTTTTATCTGTCATGATATTGATGAGTCGTTGCATTCTGTTTATTCGAAAACTACCAAACATAATTAAGATTGTATAGTAGTAAAAACAACTTTTAAAGATTAATTTAACATTGATTTAAGATAATGCTCGATATATACAACAAAAATAAAACGTATGGCATATTTTTCATTCCAAGATTATTTTTTAAATAATGTTTTAAGTTGCAACTTTTCGCACCTTGATATAATTATAAATGTACTATATATATATATATGACCTTAATCTGAAATATTATCAAGGTCTTGCAAATATCTTTATACGGCCTATATTTGACCATATTTTAATAAATTCTGGTCTAAAATATATAAAAAAACATATTTAAAACTTGAAACGATTCATCAATAATAATATGTATCATTTCAAGTACAGTCTGTTCGCTATACATACGCGGGTTTTGGATTAACAAAATTATGCAAATTAGTCATTGACAACCAGTTCCAATAAGCCTCTTCCCAAGAAATTAGGTAAAATTGCCCTAATGGTCAGATTTAAATTAAAATAACATCAGGGTAGGTACTAAATTTGTTACAAATATTGCAGTTGAATTGATTCTTTGCAAGTGTTGACATTGTATGTATTTTGTAAATTTAGTGGAAATTTTAAAAATGCCTAGACGTGTGTTAGATGTAGATAGTCTAATTTGTAGTGTACATAAGTATTTTACGGATGAAAAAGAAAATGGCGGTCCTTTAAAATCGGTAATGTCTGTACAATAACGCGTATGCGATGCTCTAGGAATTAGTGAAACCAAATTAAGAGGAGTATTACAAAATTACAATAGTGAACTGCCGAAAGAAGATCACCGCAAAACTCGCCCATCATTGAAAACGAAAGATATTCCAGATGGAAAGAAATTTGAAATTCGTGATACCATTTATCGAATGAGGGCCAACAAGGAACATGTGACCTTAAATACAATTCTCTAGGAATTAATAGATAGAAAATTTGACGACATTGGCAGAACAAGTCTATGGCAAGTGATACATAACTTGGGTTTCAAATTTCAAAAGGAGGATAACAGAAAGGCACTTTGTGAGAGAAGTTCTGTCTTGCACAATAGAATTAACTTTCTAAGAAAATATTCTAAATTTAAAGAAGAAGGGGCGAATTTTATATATTTAGACGAAACATGGATATTTTCTAGGGGTGCAACCAAGAGAATATGGCAAGATGATAACGTAAAGTCCATCAAACATACCGATGAAAAAGGGAAACGACACATAATTTTACATGCAGGAGGGAAATCGGGTTTTATAGAAGGTGCTGATTTAATATTTTCATCTAAATCAAAATCCAGTGACTATCACGATAATATGAACACAGAAATGTTTGTAAAATGGTTGCATGAAAAACTTCTCCCAGGTTTAAGTGAGTCCAGCATAATTATTTTAGACAATGCACCTTACCATTCTGTAGAATTAAACAAAAGTCCAACGAATTCTTGGACTGTTGATAAAATTAAAGAATGGTTAACAAAGGAACATATACAATTTCCTCAATATATATTAAAATCAGAATTATTACGCTTGGCAAATATACACGCAAAACCAAAAACCTTTGTTGTGGATCAGATTATTGAAAGTTACGGTCATCAAGTTTTACGTCTGCCACCGTATCATTACCAGTTTAATCTCATCGAATATATATGGAGAATATCAAAACAATATTATGGCAACCATATTGGGTCTAATTGTTATAGTGACCGCGCAGTTCGGGAAACATGGCGAAAAGCACTTTCAATTGCAACTCCAGAAGTGTGGCGGAACTGTATATCCAAGTGTGAGAAACTAATAGAAGATTGGTGAACTCGTGAAAATAAAATAAACAAAATAAGTCCAATCATAATAACAATTAATGGTGATGACAGTGATGATGATGACGATTATGATATTTTGGATGATAATGACTGATTTTCATTTTTGTTGGCAAGTTCAATTTTTTTATTTTTTATTTGAAATTCTCTACATGGAACAAATTTTTATGTTAGAAAATATTTTATTTGAGCTAAATAACCCTCTTATTATTCATAGACCATATTTTCTGTGTGAAGTTTAATATAAAATTATTATTAGGTTTATAATAGCCACATTAGACTCCATTATTGAAGAAGTTTAAGTCTGCTCTCAATTATACAAAAGATTCTCCATTATTATTTATTTAAAAAGTTGTACATTATTTTTCATTTTATTTAACCAGTTGATATTTCCCCAAAGAACAGGTCAACCTTTTGGGTACTTACCTGGAAATACTCATAAAATTTTTAATACGAAACCCGCGTAAGTATATCGAACAGACTGTATTGTTCTTTTGTTGTTCTTTACATTTTTAGTATAATATAATAAAATTGCTTTCAATAACAATTTATACAGTGTGTCCAATTAAGTCGGAACCATATGGGAAATTTTTTTATTCTTAATTTTATGAAAAATATCACTTCTTTTTAAAAAGTTCTGCATGGTCCAAAACTTAAAATACAACTATCAGATAACATTTTTTTTAAGCCGTATACGAGGTTTGTCAAAAAATATGAATATGATGTGTACCTTTATTTTTGACAGATCTCGTATCCTAAAACGTACCATGAGCGAGGAAATGTACCCAAAACGGCAACTTTGGCGTCCTATAATATATCTTGAAAGCCATGGAAGAAGCCATGGAAAAAGCCAATATAATAATGTAAGCAGAAGTTCAACCAAGGCTATTAGAAGTTCTGGTTGCAGCGTAACATTATTAAAACACATTATCCTGTATTGTGGAACTTTGCTATTTATTTTTTTAAATTTTGATGAAAAAATGATGTCGTTTACTCACTTAAAAAAGAAAACTAAAAATATGATTTTTAACTTAATTT